CAAATTCGAAAATTGTTTTCACTAGGCTAAATTGTTTGATCGAACAGGAATTTTCGCTAGATTTTCTTTTCTATGGTGACCGGTCAATTTATCGGGGCAAAGGGGATCCGCTACGATCGAATTCGCACATTTGACAAGAAAATCGGACGAAAAATTTCGTGCGATCGAAAATTTTCGCCTTGTGTCGTAATGGAAAAAGGCCCTTCTGAAAAACTTTCGTGTTTATCGGATTTTTTTAGACACAGACTCTAGTTCATATTTATTTATACCATAGTGAAATGATGTATGAGATAAGCAGATTGTTTGTCGTATTTCAAAAAATATAAGAGTTCAAAATGTAAACAAAGCGCCGGTTAGTTTACATTATAGGACCGCAGTAGTATTATTATTATGGCTAAATCCATCCCTTTTATGCGCATATAATAATGAATGTATAATTTTTTAATGAGGTAAAATTATTCAAAGGTGATCATCTTAATTATTAATAGATATTTTATAATTACTTCATTTTCCGATGGCAAAACAACGAGACTTTTCCGACCCTGCGCCATTTTGTTTCGCGATGGCAAAAACGAGCAAAGCGCTAATTTTAGATGTTTTGAGTGAAAGTAATGTAGAATTAAGTATGAGCACTTTGAAATTTTATTTGAAAGTAAAAAGAATTGCGACCTTTGAATTTTGGTAGAATCATGGCCTATTTGGCTTTAGTTTATAAAGTAAAGGATATTTGTGACCGTGAAACATTTTGTGAAGCTGTTCGAATAACTGTTGATGATTTTAGACACGTTAATTTGGCAAGCTACGAAATTAAACTGTCCTGGTTTCAACGGGTGATATTGTACCGTGGCTAAAAAGTGGCGAGATAGTTTGAATGTCCATTTATTCTTATAAATTATGTGCATTAATGGTGGTTTTTAAATAATTACATTTTGCATTTTACATTTTGCTTTCTAAACATAGCCATAGCCTTCCACCTTTGGACAATGGTGGTAGTCTTGAAATGACCAGTGCATGGTTGCCACAGGTTTCTTTCCGTATCAAACCGTCCAATAGCACTCTTGTCTTGGAACAACCATAATCTTCGAGGTTCACGGAAGGGATGCCAAGATTATTCAGGACATTTTTCTCCCATTGCTCCCATTCAGTGTAGGCAATTGCAGAATATCAGTTCCGCCGTAGACTGTCATAAATGTCTTTGATGATCTTTTCGAGCATCGATAGGGGGTAGAAAGACATCCCGATGAGACACTCTTTTCTTTTGCCGTCAGTTCACTCTAGCAGAGACCGTAGACCAATGTCGAAAAAGAAGGAGTTTGCCGAGACCTCGCCAACTATGAACACACCCAGCTCCTTACAAAAAAATTTCGTTGATAAGATATTCATCCATATCAATGATTGCAAACGAGATTTGTTAGAGACATTTTGTCGATTGAAAATTTTAAAAAGGTTCGGCAAACTACGAAAGCAAACTGTCCTGGTTTCAGCGGGTGATGACTGTGGTTAGAAAACTGCGAGATAGCTTGAATGTATATAATCAGTTAAAGGTCGTTAATTATACCTAATGGCTGAACACATTGTTATCTTCTGACTTTGTCCGAACGCTTTAATGCTAGAAACGTCAAATGCTATCTTTTTGCGGTCTGTTCAACGGGTGATACTGTGGTTAGAAAGCTGCGAAATAGCTTGAATATATATAATTAATAAAAAGTCGTTAATTAACCTAATGACTATAAACACACTGACATTGTCATCTTCCGACTTTGTCCGAACGCGTTTTTGCTCGAAGCGTCAAATGCTATCTTTTTGCCTAAAAATGTCTCCGTGAATTCGATACATAAATTGCTTAAGCAGGGCAGAATGTATTCATTTTGTTTTAGACTACTATGGACCCTAGACTTAAGGCTTGCTTTTGCTTGCAGATATCTGGACCATCTGGGTCGGGCAAAACAGTGTGGCGGCTAATAAGTTTCTTGAAAATATAGAAAATAGTTACGGAATGCGTACATGTGGGTAGCCTGTATAACATTATTAACTGCGATAAAGTTGCTATAGTGGCGAGTAAATATCAACTGATGCAATAATTATAAAAATATTATTTTCTAGTCTTATGTTCTAATGCCATAGTGGTTGAATACAGTTATAACGAAGTCGATTTATCACACAATCTATATATTATAATTTTTTATTGTATTAAATACATTTTACGACAGATCAAAACATATATAAAAGCATTTTTACAAGAGATAGGAAATGGAATTTTTTTAAGCAGAATAGGTGAACGAACAAAAGAGAGAGTAAGGTTCCGGGATGGTGGCACACATCGTCTGATAACATAAAGCTTGGTTTAGAAGGAGAAAAAGAAGGTTTCAGACTTTTTCAAATTATTTCGTTTTGATGTCCCTTGATTATCAGCATGTCTTTGTTACATAAAAGATTGGTTATTTTGTTGATAAATCAATGTTATAGTTATGTTAATACTCAATAAAGGTTAAACGTTATTGTTCCAGTAAGATTATACCAATTGTTTGCCAAAGTTTATTGACATGCAATACGTTTCACTATTATAACTGAAGATAGTATGATTTCATTGATCCAGTAGGAAGGTACAGGTGGTTTGCAATGTTGATTACAGATAACTTATCAGCATCAATTATAGCGGATATATAATAGCACCAGTTCTTAGGTCGAAAAAAACTGCGTGGCTTTTTCCAAGTTTAAATTTATCAGTTGACAATAATTATCACTGTAGTAATCAGTCCGACAATCAGTCAACATTGAATGCCATCATTGAGGATTAAACTACTTGATCTGCCAGATCATTTTACAGTCACATATAACAAAGAGTCCAAAATTGTTTCAAACATTTCAGCATAACAATTTTGAAGGAGTCATCTACGTATCTGAACAATATTATAAAGATTTTTGTTCAGTTGAAATGCACTTGTGTAATAAGTTTTGTTTTTTAAAAAAATATGTTTTGTTAGTTATGTTCAAATAAAAGCTTCTTTTTAAATTCCAAAGCGTTTGGTTTAATAGCTGCATGTCCACAAGCAAGAAATTGACAGGTGAAATATTGCATTATAATTTATAAAACAGGGCAACTTGTTACTACCATTTGCCGAATAAAGTAATGTTTTATTTATTTTCTATATTAGTGTAACTTTGTAGTTGTAGAATCGACGCTCACCGATCACCGCTTTTACAGGGACCGCGGAGCAGGGTGGCCGGCTCGCTGGGCTTTAGCCCCACCAATAATTTTTCCATAATTAGCTTTTAATCTCGAATATTTTTTAGTTCGCTCAAATTCACAAGGGATATTTTTAGCAATTTGTATTTTTTGCTTACAAGTATATCCAGTGTATCTTATCCTGAATGCTATTGTAACTTTTACTTCTTCAACGTATATTTTAATAACCAATTCAAAGAAATGAGTATTCTAATTCCAACGATATCTGTCGTAATAAATCCGCCATGTTTACAAATGGATTGAAATTAGTTATGTTCAGTACATATGTTTGGCAAAAATAAAAAAATAGAGACAGAAACGACAAGCACTTCACCATTAAAACAGCGTGGTTATCAAAATATTTGACATCATAACCAAAGCATGGTTATATTGTTATAACCAAATTACCAAAGCATGGTTATATTAATGTTTGTATATGAGCATGAAACATGCTTGCAACTTTACATAGGAAAAGCACTTGTCCATTAAAACAGCGTGGTTATATCAAAGTCAAAATATTTGACATCATAAGTCATAACCAAAGCATGGTTATATTGTTTAATGTTTGTATATGAGCATGAAACATGCTTGCAACTTTGCATAGGAAAAGCATTTGACCATTAAAACAGCGTGGTTATATCAATGTCAAAATATTTGACATCATAAGCAAAGCATGGTTTTATTGTTTAATGTTTGTATATGAGCACCAAACATGCTGGAAATTTACAGAGTATCTACTATTTCCCAATAATTCTTAAATTGAGAGGCATTTGCGGCCATTTCAGAGGCCTATATGTAAATTTCAAAATTTTCCCTGACAGCTGCGCGGTTCCGAGCCCCAGCAATACGAAAAACGCTCCGCGGTCCCTGTTTTTCGTCTTTAAATTACTCACCTTCGCTTTAAAATTTGACAAACGTATTAACGTGACTTCGGTTGCTTCCGTTCTTCGAAAACAACGAAATTTTCCGGTAGAAGGACCATTGGCAATCGTAAAACGAACGTACCGTTTATCATCTTTCGTATATCCGACGATTGCCGAAGATGTGGCACCCAAAACACACACACACATCCGGACACTTTTTCGACTACATAGTGGTTAGCCGCGCATGCGCAGGCTACCCACAATAAAATGATTGACGGAAAAGTTGATCAAATCCTGTATTTTTACGGAGAGTAAAATACAATTCTTCTAAGGTTTTCCAAGCATGCATGACTGCATGATCCGTCATATCATACAGTAATGGTAATTAAATGGTCTTCAAAACGAGCTACTCGATAACCTAGAATGGCAAACTTATTTACAAAAGGCAGTCATCATAGATCAATATATTGGTCATATTTTTGCAGCAAGCTTTGTGATAATAAAGGCAAATTTTCCCACCTATGCTCCCTCAATTGCCACTAGTGGTGGTGTTCAGAGTCCAAGGGATCTCATCAAACCGACAAAAAGAAGAGATTTTCCAAAACTCAAGACATTTCACCATGCTCTACATACATTAAACTATGAATACACTGTTATTTTTAGGGAGTTATTTTAACACCAAAAAAGGGGTAAAAAAAAAAGGTTCAAAATGAGTAGCTTTTTGGAGTAACAAATAACTCCACTTCTGGTGTTATAATTTAACACCGCTTTTGGAGTTAATTTAACTCCAATTCTGGACTTAAAACATAACTCCATTTTTGGAGTTAAACACATTTAACACCGTTTTAGGTGTTAGGCCGGTTTTCTACTATATAGGTAAATTACTTCGATCGAAGGAAATTTTTCGCTTGATTTTCTTTTCAATTGTGATCTATCCAGTAAATCTGCCTCGGTTTAATTTCACAATTGAAAAGATAAATAAATTGAGCGAAATATTCCGTTCCATCGAAGATTTCTACCTATAATACAGATCGAGTCAACAAACAATGCAGCACAAATATCGTTATTATATTATTATAATATTGAATACATGAGATCAATTACATTTCTGTTTGAGTACAGCAAGTCAACTACGCATTAAAGGAATTGCTTCTATAGTATAGCTCTTTAATACTTTTTATTTACACTTTAACACACATGCACATTTGCAAAAAATTTAGAAAATGTTTTTAAGTGGAGTACCATGCATGCCTAAAACATAATGGTATAGTCATTAAGACACTGGTTGTTCAGTTCTACTAGAGTTCTACTAAGCTAAGACTCACTTTACCAAGATGATGACCTGGCTGTATAAGCAATACTGATCCACGTTTCTTCTTTTACAATTTTCCTCGTAGTAAAATTTTCGGAGGTTTCCTGTTGTGCCAATTGCACGAAACGAGTCTTCAATCTACGAACAAATAGAAAAATTGCATGTATTTGAGTGTAAATTCGAGTAGTGTGCTTTGTATGCATATAACAGAGCACATTGTTCAACAGACCTTCAAAATCTATATGTTCTATGTGATCCACAATGCAAACATACTCAAACAAATAAGCAGAAACATGTGAGTATAAGGAAGGAATAATTTCAAGTAACTTAGGCTTAGCTAATATAAAAAGAATAAGAAAAAAATTCCACATACCTAGATTTACTGCATCATGGTAAGTTGCTTCGTCCATTGAGAATTGAACAGTTATTTTGGGGTTGTTTTCAACATCGTTTCGCTAGGTTAGGGCCTGGTTAGGGCTTTCTTGTATTGAAATTTGTGTTTGAGTTTCCCATTGGCATTGCTTCTTCTACCCTCTACCGGGCATTGTGGACTTCTGTTCTTCTACTGCTTCTAAAAAGATACGAATTCGAATTGTTATAGACCATTAAAATATCCCAGGAACTTTAAGGTAAATATCGGAGGCTCGCGATATCATGTATTCATGCTGATCAGAAACAAAAAAATACTTCGCCGTCAGTTTTGCGACTGAAAAACTCTTTTGGCAACAGCCCCACAGAAAAAATAAATCGACCGCATAAAAAATTATAGAAACAACTATTTGAAAAACATTTTAGAATCAAACTATAAGAATCTTGCAATAAATTTGTCTGTTTCTGCAGGCCAAGTTAACACAATAAAAAGGCGGGAAGACTAAATGCAAGAAAAACTTCAAATATTTACCTTAAAAAAGCTCGCACTAGTCGCCAAATCCAGCTTTTCGCATCCAAAATCGCAAGTCTTCTACCAAGTTTACAATTTTCGAATGAAAAGTACCGAGAAAGAGAACTTTTTACGGAGCAAGCGAGGGCTTCGTGTGTACTTTGCAAATATTTCGCCAAGAAAGACCCGGCCACTGAGCTGTATAAAGACCTGAAGTCTTAGCATAGGTATCCCTGGCAATTCAACCCACATCATGAGGTTTTCTTTTTCTTCATTAGTTGACTCAGTTTGTCTTGATTTTAAAATCAACTGTCAAAATTTAAAATGAAAGTTAATGTTAGGATACTATCAGTAATGTTTTTTGCTTTATTAATTTATGAACATATTCTGTGGTACCTAACAAACACTTATTTCTTCAGTTTAATTAATCTTTGATTTGATGTTGTTGGTGATTTGTATAAATGTTATTGAGGTCTCCAAGTGGGAATATGGAAAAGACATATAAATTAATTATTTTTCATACATGAAAATTTAACTTTCATGAGCCCTAAAGAATATTAATTCAAAAGGTCAAATTTTTTAAAATTGATTTCTGATTAAAACCTGCCTTGCAATACATATTGTGTATAATTATAGCTCTAAATTATCTGCACAGTTTAATGCTTGATTCACATGATCTGCACTGTTCAATGCATGGTTCTTGACAGATAATATTAACACAAAATAGTTTTTTCAAAAAATTGTTTTTGTAGCCTTATGAATATATAGCTTCATAATCATATATAAAATGTTTAAGGGTCAGTTTTGAGAGATGTATTACTTAAAATTTTGTAGCATAAAAGACCACATTTTATGGAAGACTGCAAATCACCAAGCTTTTAAATGCCACTTAACTCTCACATATATATGTTATCCAAAAATGCACCAATCAATGTTTATAGCACTTCTTGGTTGTGTAAATAGCTAATGTGCATTTGAGCATTACACTCAAATATTGACCACCTTTCAGACAATTATTAAAAAGAACCAGGAATGGATATTACAATGTCCCATATTACCTGGTTATTTTAAGGTGATCCTGAATATAAAAATAAAGAAGATTCATGGCAAAATAATTAACAAAAAACAGGAAAATTTTTATTATTTGATTTATTATAAACTGAAATAAACAAGCATGCTTGGATTTCTTGCACATAAAGAGGTTAAAAATAGTTTTATTGAATAATTCATGAATAAATCATGTTTTAAAGTACCAAAAATAAACCTGGGGAATTCGCATTCCATAAATATATCAAATGAGCTCTTTTATATAGTTTGTTTGAAAATTTGATTTCGAAAAAACTTCAATTAAGGCCTTCCAGGCTAGAACTACAAGACCGTAAGTTATGATATTTTTAATGCGCTGAATACCTTATATAATAATGCGCTATACGATGTATAACGATCGGTTGTCAATGCTTTACTCCAGCCGATCGACCATGTATTTCGCTATTTAATGATTGATTCTATGACATTTATCGTTATAAACTTACCAGAACTATCCGAGGCAATCTTTCATCACGTATTCTGATGTAGTAAATGATTTCAATACAAGGTTTTGTTCAATTTCAATAAAAATTATCATTAACGCGATGTGCATCACCAATCTTCACTCCTTGTTTTCAAATCTCCATTATGAATATATAATGAGAGGAATTCAACTCCAAAAATGGAGTTAATTCCTCTAACCCCTCTAGATGGGATTATTTTTGCATACTAATCAACGTTCGAAGACCTCGTTACTCCACCGAGGAGTTAATATAACTCTAAAAGTGGTGTCAAAATAGCATCAAAATTTAACACCCCGAAAAATGAAATTTGGGGGTGTTAAAATAACTCCCTGAAAATAACAGTGTATATACACACTAAAATATATAATACAAATACAAATAAACCTGTTTTCCATGAATGCCGTTTTCAACGAATATGTCGTTTCAACAATCTTTGAAATTCATTTAGGGATTCTGCAGCTTGTCTGATATTAGTAGGTAGGCTGTTCCACAAGACCGCACCACTATAACTAAAGCTGTTTTTTTTTTATTATTACAAGTTTATATAGCGCTTATAACACATAGATCTAAGCGCTTTACAATCGTCAGTCTAAAAATTTACAATAAAAATATGACAAACTAAAATTATTTATATACATCTATAAATCATAAGCTATTTTAAACATGCGAGTCTTGAGTTCACTCTTAAATTCGGAAAAATCTGTGCATGCTCTGATAGAGGCAGGTAGTTTATTCCATAACCTAGGACTACTTGCATGAAAGGCTCTACCGCCATAGCTGTTAACATTAAATCTTGGTTCATTAAGTAAATTAGCTTTAGAGGATCTAAGGCATCTAGAAGGTTCGTAATGGCTGATCATCTCTGCAATGTATTGCGGAGCAAGTCCATTTAACGCTTTAAATGTCAATAAAATTATCTTATAGATAATCCGTTGCTCAACTGGCAGCCAGTGCAGTTGTATTAAAATAGGTGTAATGCGATTATACTTGTAAGATCCGGTTAACAGTCGTGCTGCTGAATTTAGAACGCGTTGTAACTTTCCAATCTGATCTTTAGGCAGACCATACAGCAGTGCATTCCCATTATCTAGTTTAATAGTCACAAAAGCGTGAATAAGCTGTTCGGTAGTATGGAAAGACAGGTATCTTCTAGCAGAAGATGTTCCGTAGGTGATAAAATGCTGACTTACATATCTCATTAATATGTATAGACATTGTAAGAAATTTATCAAATGTAACACCAATGTTACGAGCGTGGGTTGTTGGGATAATGATATCGGGGCCCACAGTCAACGAAGGGAATGCAGGCTCAGCCCGAAATTTGGAACTCAAAATAAGTAGTTCCGTCTTATCAGTGTTAAGCTTTAATTTATTCTCTGACATCCAGTTCATGATATCCACGAGGCAGGCTTCCACGCGCGATTTGACTTGCTCAAGGTCATTCTGATCTTTATAATTAAACGAGACATAAATTTGAATGTCATCAGCATACAAATGAAATTTCATGCCATGAGATCGTAAAATGTCTCCTATCGGTGAAGTATAGATCAGATATAGGATAGGACCTAAAACTGATCCCTGGGGGACACCGCAGAACACATCGTAACTGTCTGAGGTAGCGTCATTAACATAGACAGTCTGGGAACGACCAGATAGATATGACTTAAACCAGTTTAATGCTTCACCCTTGATACCAAATTTAGTAGACATTCGTTGAAGCAAGATCGCGTGATCCACCGTGTCGAATGCAGCCGATATATCCAATAGTAGCAGAATGACACCCGAGTTTCCGTCTATCTCACGTAAAATGTCACTCTGTACACGAATGAGTGCAGTTTCACAACTATGGAATTGCTTGTAGGCAGATTGATATAATTCTTCAAAGCCATTGCTACGAAGATAATGTAGTAGACGTAAAGCAATCACTTTTTTAGTCATTTTCGAGACAAACTTGAAGTTCGAAATCGGACGAAAATTGGAATATTCTTCGTAATCCGTGGCAGACTTTTTGAGAGTAGGGTATAGAGCGGCCTTCTTAAAAGACGATGGAACATGGCTAGTTTCCAAAGATGAATTAACAATATCCATAAGAATAGGTAAAATCGCATCAATGTTGGAAGAGAGTACCTTTGCTGGTATGGGATCTAGCAGACAGGATTTAAGTTTAGTTTTTTTCAGAATTTCAGATAGCTCCTCAATTGTTGTGTTGGTGAACTTGTCCAAACAGCAACTTAGCTTTGGATTATCCAGCCGCGAAAAAGACAAGGTGTTCCTTGACGATAGAATTTGCAATCCTTGCTTGATCTTGGAAATTTTATTATCAAAGAAATGTGCAAACTGGTTTGCTAACCTTGTGGAAGAACCAGATGCAGGATATAGCTTTTCGGGTTTCCTATGAAGGAGTCGATCAACAATCTGAAAAAGTCGTCTGCTACCAGCATCCTGGACAAGTGATGAATAATATTCCATTTTTGCTTCACTAATTGTGTTCTTTACCCGAATACACTGGTCAACATACGCCTTTCTATCAACTTCTAGGCCACTTTTACGCCATCTTCGTTCCTTGCATCGCCGTACTATTTTCTGATCTCTAATATCTTCATTATACCATGGGGCCATCGGTCGGATCGTTATGGTCTTTTTACGAAGTGGAGCATGGCTCTCCAGCAACGCTGATAATACCAAATCATATTGGTCACAACGTTCCTCAAGAGTAGATGCAGGTCTTGTATATAACTCCGAACTAAGAACGCTTTGACGAAACTTAGCTGTATCGATGTCTCCCAGCTTTCGATACGAAATATCCGACTTCATGTTACGAGGTTTAGCCAGCTCTACATTACAGTGCAGCGCAAAATGATCAGAAATAACAGCATCAAATACTTTAAGATTGTTAATGACAGTTTCACCTTTCCTGGTAATAATAAGATCAAGTGTATGACCACTATTGTGTGTGGGGAAATTCACATGTTGCTCAAGATTAAAAATCTGCAGAAGCTCCAAAAACTTGAGAGCATTGGACGACTTTCCTTCGTCTACATGACAATTAAAATCTCCTACCATTATAAGTTTTCCAGAAGCTAGAGAAATATGCTCCAGTAACGTTGTAAATTCTTCAAAAAATGCAGAATATGTCAGTTTGCATGTTTATAGATGATATAGGAGGACGGTAAATAACAACAATTCTGAAAGTAGACGAGTTTGCATTTAACAATAATTCCATCAATTCAAACGACTGGAAAGATCGTGATTTCAACTTCTTAATCTTGAGGTTTTGTTTGAAAAGTAAACCAGTACCGCCCCCACGAGCATACTCCCTTGGGCAATGAATAAATTTGTAACCTTTTGGGCAAATATCACGCGTGATATAATCGCTGGTTTCACCCGCTTTTAACCATGTTTCAGTGATAGCCAAAATGTCAACCTGCCTCTCAACAACATAATCCTTAATCAATAAGGACTTATTGTTGATTGACCTGGCATTAAGAACAGACAGGTGAAGTTTATTGGTATTCCGAGTCTGTGTCCGAGTCTTGTCTTCAAAACAAGACGTAGAAATTTTAATTTTGATCAGATTTCTAGGTCTTACATGACGATAGTTGCGAGCGCTTGTTCTATTAGTAACACGAACTGGTATATTCACACATATGTTAGGTACATTCAGAGCAACATTAAAAGGTTTAAAACCTGAACCTGAACTCAGCATTTCCATAGAATAATTTACATTCTGTTGAGCAGTGTGGGCATCGTAGCATGACCGAGGTGTATTTGGAAAAGAAGGCAAACTTTGCCGATGAATAGACTCATAAGAAGGTCCAGGGTTACGGGATATATCAACATATATCGTTAGATCCATAACAAACAAACTGGCTGGTAGAGATAAAC